TTGGTTGTACGGGGTGTGCCCTGATCAGGGTGCCTACAGAAGCCACGCGTGGGGCTGAGCTTCAGCTCTCCTCTACGCATCAAAGTTGCCGCCTCAGGAGCAGGCGGCACCTCTTTGCCCTTCCACCTGCTGGCAGGCTCGAGGGGACACCTTTTTCTAATTTGCACAAAGGGACCTGCCAGGTGTGCTAGTGGAGACCCTGCGCAGGTCACCCAGTGCATGCTTCCTCAGTACTCACTGAATGTATGAACAAGAGAACAAAGTGGAGGCAGTGAGGATAAATAAGAGGTTTCCACAGTCATCTCAGTAAAGGTGAACGAGGCCCCAAACTAGGACGTCATCTGTATTTACAGGAAGGAGGAGATAAACAAAGGAGAAGCAACAGGCCATGGGTTGGGTTAAAGCTTCCAGGATGGCAAAGGAGAGAGGGAATAAAAATGACCTCCTACCTGTAATCACCACTAAAACTTGACTCTTGCCCAAGAAGTATAAGGATAGTGTGGTTGCAGATCAGTCTTACATACCCACTTCTGGACAGCTGGCGTTGGTTGGGTAACGAGGTAACAGGAATTCTGTGCTCTTGTCTGCAAGACCCTGTGGTAAGCAACGTGGGGGAGACGTAAGACTTCCCCTCCCTCGGTTGCTTGTGATCTAGTTGAGGGCACTTGTGTCCAACAAGATTCCTGATGCTTGTCTACACGGACCAGCATCGCATGTGGGTGACAGGTGTCAGATGATCATAGTAGCTATGGACGTACATACTGCTTTACTGCCTGTGGTGAGCTCTCCCCTGTATGAGACAGCTATTATGTTGCTTCTCACCTAAGAGGAAGTTGACATTTCTTGCTTGCTTCTCACCCCATCTTCTGACTGCCAGTCACAATATTGGCATGAACCACATAAAATTAGCATTTTTGTAGGCCAAAATGGTTAGATATCAGCAATTTCATATAGGTGGTTCTTATTCTCTCCACCATATTATGCTGCCACTTGAGACCTTTCAAGTGATTTTATTGGTTTGTTTTAAGCCTGTTATAAAAGGATTTTTTTAAAAAGAGTGATGCTTCTTCTGGTAAATGTGCAAAATAGGAAAAAACTGTGCAGAAGCAGAAAAATCTTTTATTTGTTTATTTATTTTTGGCTGCGTTGGGTCTTTGTTGCTGTGCATGGGCTTCTCAATGCGGTAGCTTCTCTTGTTGCAGAGCACAGGCTCTAGGCACGTGGGCTTCAGTAGTTGTGGCTTGTGGGCTCTAGAGCGCAGTCTCAGTAGTTGTGGTGCATGGGCTTAGTTGCTCCGCAGCATGTGGGATCTTCCCAGACCAGGGCTCAAGCCTGTGTCCCCTGCGTTGGCAGGCAGATTCTTAACCACTGCTGCACCAGGGAAGTCCCTGGAAGCAGAAAAGTCTTAATCCCAAATTCTAAAATTCAGAGGCATCCCTAATCACATTTTGATGTATTTCCTTCCAGATATTTTTCTTTGTATTTTTTATAAAGTTGAGATGTTATTGCATATGTAATGTTATATCCTCTGTTTAAAAATAACAATCTTCACTTCACATTAAATATTTTTATAAACACAATTTTTAATGATGGCATAATATTCCATTGAATGTAGGTACTGTAATTTATCCTACTGTTGGACCTAAAGGTTGTTTTCAGTTCTTAATATTATATATATGTAGTTTTATTCCTGTTCATTTTCTTAAGATAGATTCCTGTCTTAATCCATTTGGGCTGCTACTGTAACAGAATAGCATAGACTGGGTGGCTTATAAACAACAGAAATTTATTTCTCACAGTTCTGGAGGCCGGGGAGTCCAAGATCAATGCTCTGGAAGATTCAGTGTCTGATAATAATGTACTTCCTGGTTCATAAATGTCAGCCTTTTCACTGAGTCCTCCCATGGCAGAAGGGGCTAGGGAGCTCTCTAGTGTCTCTTTTTTAAATTTTTTTTGCGATACGTGGGCCTCTCACTGTTGCGGCCTCTCCCGTTGCGGAGCGCAGGCTCAGCAGCCATGGCTCACGGGCCCAGCCACTCCTCAGCATGTGGGATCTTCCCGGACTGGGGCACGAACCCACGTCCCCTGCGTTGGCAGGAGGACTCCCAACCACTGCTCCACCAGGGAAGCCCTCTGGTGTCTCTTTTATAAGGGCATTATTCTCCTAGGTTCTGCCCTCGTGACTTAGTCACCTCCCAGATGCCCCACCTCCAAATACCATCATACTGGGGATTATGTTTCAACATATGAATTTTGGGGAGTACACATTTAATCTATAGCAGTTCCCAAAAGGAATGGGGTCAAATTACTTGAAATTACTGGGTCAAAAAGCAGGAAACTTTTTTAAGTGTCTTGATTTGTAGCATCCATTGGCTTTCCAGAATGCATGTGCCCCTTGATTAACTTTAGCCATGATGGCAGAGCCAGTCCTTTGCTGGTTCTGGTTTGGTTACCAGTGATAAATGCTGTTTTTAAAGATGAGAAAGTCTAAAGATGAATGGTCAAAAAAGACTCCGCAGTTAGGTAGACATTGAACTAAGCTAGAAAGATCTGTAAGTTTCAAATAAACCTAGGGGAAATACTTTTCGAGCAGAAGCAAAGGTACAATGGAAACAATACAGCATATGTGGACAGTCATAATCTAATTTTCCCAGGGTAGATAGTTGCAACATGGGAATAGTGGGATATAAATTGAGAAAAGGGCTCTCAGCTGAGACTACATTACCTACATTCAATGTAGGTAGATATCTATCTATCCTGTAGATAATGGGGAGCTGTTGACAATTTTTGAGCAGGGGATTATAAGAGGAAAATAATGTTTCAGTGATTATAGGAGACTTTATCTGGGAAGCCAGAAACATCTTTACGAGTGGCAGAAGATTTTTTAAATGATCATCTGTTTTAGAAAATTACACATCATATATAAACATCCTAGGAATGATTTGCTCTAGTGCTTAGCATGTGACAGTGGTATGACCTGTCAGCCATGTCTGAGTGGCTCAGGCTTTGAGATTCAGGTGGTGTGGCTTGGAGATCACAGTGGCTGGATCCAAATTGGCAGTCAGAAGCTATTTCTCATGGAGGAAATCTCCATGAGAATTTTCATGAAATGAAGGTCTCTTTGGCTTTTACATGTGCAGTTACAGCAAATCCTCATGAGGAGTGATTTTGCCTTAAGCATTTCTTGGTAAATAAAAATTTCATCTCTTTTAATTGAATTTTTACGATTTTAAAGGAAATGCATATGTTGCAAATTCTGGTTTCCAGTACGAATAAGTAAAATATGGTTGTTGCTATTACATCATTATATTTTCTCTTTTTTAAGATAAATCAGATATTTTTAATCAGTATAAAACGATGACAGATACTTTGGGAATTCTTCAATTATCTGTCCATACTATATTTAATATCAATATTAGATAAATGTCTTGTAATATATGTACACTTTTAAAACCCATCTATATGTCACCATATCTCACATAGCACAATGCTTATGTTATGGAAAAATAAGACTTCGACTCACGTTTTAGATTTAATTAAGGTTAGTTTCAAGAAAGAATGAGGGGGCCCTTAACAAAATTGATAGGCCACCAAAAAGACGCTGATTTTTTCTTGAGATACATTGTCACAAGACACACTGATCATGGCAAAATGTTAACAACTGTGTAAAATATTTGATGGCATTAACGTAGGATAACTACTAAATGTCAAGAGCTTTCATGAAGAATACAGCTGGCATATTTTTGAAAGGATGGTGCTGTTTACCCCGGGGGAGTAGAACAGTAGGGTGTTATCCAGTTTGCTGGGGCTTTCACCTTTCTTTAACTGGGATTTTCATGACGTACAGCTCCATCTGTTATGGACAGGGCTGGTTTCATGGATGTGTGACCTGCACAGTCACGGATGGCCCTATGCTTAGAAGGGTCTGGTGCTTTGTGTGATGTTTTTCTGTTGCCATCTTGAAATTCCCTATAAATTTTGAACAAGGGCTCTGCACTTTTATTTTGCACAGGTGATTCAAATTATGTAACTGGTGTTGATTGTGAAAGCTGATTTCATCTTCCTTTGCCATGTGTTATGGGCTAAAACATGGTTTTCACGGGACCAAACTATGGACCAGTTTAGAGGAGAGGGCTGCAGTGGGCCAAGGGAGCTTCTGGCCAACTCCTCTTATTTCCACAGGAGGCTAAACTTAGTACAATAGGAGAAGCGGGGAGAGAGCAGAGTTTACGAGCAGGCAGGGCTACTGACAGCTAGAGTTTCTCCATTAAGAACAGCAGCAGTGGCTGCCATTCCCGCTACACCCACCTACCACCTCAAGCTGATAACCCCCAGGCTCCGGCTGAGCGCTTCATGTGCATTATTTCCTTTAACTTAATTTTCTCAGCAACCTGCAACATGAGTATTATTTTTACAGATGAAGAATCTGAAGTTTCCAGCAATCAAGTTGCCCATAATTACAGAGCTAATAATGGTCTTTGCTGACTTAAGAAGTAGCCAGCCATCCTTGTCTGTTGTTAAAATTGAACTTGAATCACTTATTTGTCTACTTAAAAAGATTCATTGTCAGGGAGAGAGCCATAGACTTTGTTTACATAGATTGTTCATTTTCTACTTTTTACTTTCATATAATTGTAGATAGTATTGTTCTTTAGGACCTTTTAGATGTAAATTTCTTTACTTTTTTCTCCATGGATGCTATCTGGACAGCATACTAATGCTGGAAGTGTTTTTCCAAGAAGAGATAGCTACACCTTCCTTCTTTTCTCAGAAGATTGTGTCAGTAAACAGTATTATATATTTTTTAAACCTCAGCCAAAATGACATTCTGTTGCTTGATTATTTCTGTTATTATTGTTTTCCTAGTTGTTATGTGTGATTATGTTCTAAGTTAAAAAAATTATCCATGTTTTCTATTTTAATTTTGTATTAAAATAAAGTTTTTCAAAAATTTGTAAGTGAATTCTATTCTTGACTCATTCTAATTATGTCTTCTGCAGGAAAGCATCTCTGGCAGCTGATGTGTCCAGACTTGGGTACAGTTCCTCACCCAATCACAAATACATTCCGCGAAGGGCCGTGCTCTATGTTCCTGGAAATGATGAAAAGAAGATTAAGAAGATTCCCTCTCTGAATGTGGATTGTGCAGTACTCGACTGTGAGGATGGTGTGGCTGTGAACAAAAAGGTAATGGCATGATTTTTCCTTATGATGGAAAAAAGAAATGAATTGAAATTTGGTGCTCTCCTGGTAGCACTGCTCACTATTTGGAAAGAGTCTACTGTACTCACCTTTTTCTGATTATCGACGTGTTCTTGACCAGCCCTTGTGTGGGTTCTGAATATGTATGTTTCTTTTCTCCAAGAGACAGGAAGAATCCAGCCAAGATATATTTAAAATCATGGCCTTCAGTATATGTGACTATGTGTGTGTATAGATAAAGAGATACACACTTAAAAAAAAAAGAGAGAGAGATAGACACTCAGTCCATTTTGGCTGTGATATTTGCTGGTTTGAGTAAATGACTTAATCCTAGAATTGTGGTGTAAATTTTTCAGACCAGTAAGATGGAATTAGGAATTTATCTCTTTTTTTTACTGCCAGGTATATTGTGTAGTGGCCTTATCTCTTCTGGGACAAGTGCCAATAAAAGAAAAGATAGACGTCAATGGATGAGTCACCATTTTCCCTCCTTAATTAAAGAGAAACTACACGCAGAACCTTAAGGTTACAGCTTTTGGCTGATTTTCTCATGGCCTGATCAGAGAAATGAGTTGCAGAAAATACCCAATTTGTAAATAGGTACAAAAGGTTCTTACTGGCTGGTAGCATAGTGGGTGCTTTTTGTTTCATTTTGATTTGCCTAACTTCTTTTTCTAGGTTTTTATAATGAACAAAGATTTGTTCAATAATTGGGTGAAATACATAAATTATTTTAACAATAACTGATGTTTGCATGGAACTTTTAAAATTAAACACATGCTTTCCCTCAACCTTCATCTATCCAGTCCCTAGACAATGAGGTTGGCCTGGGAATGGATTGTGGGACTGGTGGCACAGAAGGAGCTGGCCATCTGGATTTGTATCTATTTGGATAGTTTCTTTTCCTAGGTGACCTGAAATAGCGTGGTTGTCCTATACAACTTTCTTGATTAATTGCTTTTCTTAGAGATTCTAGCAAACAAATATTTGCCTTATTTTTTTAAGTTAATTTACAGCATCTTTCTAATGGTCAAAGCAAGGCTTTACAAGTGTTTGGGAAAGGATTAGAATAAACATGTGGAATTTAAAGCGTCTACTCAATATCTTTGGCATGCACCAAGGAAAATGCAATTAATCTTCTTTCTCGCAGAGATTAAGGTAAATAGGGCTTTTCTTGAAGGACATAATATGATTCCAGTATGCTCCCTTCCGAAACTCATGTAGTGCACTCTAAGATTAGATACTAAGTTGTAATTCTAGTTCTGTGTGACCCAGGGCAATTCACTTTACTTCTTTGCCTCAATTTTTTATCTGTACTGTGGGATGACAAAATCTTCTTTTGTCAGGGATAGGGATTATTACAAGGAATAAGCTTGATAAAATGCCTGGGAGTAGCTTGATTTCCTATAGGAAATAGATTAGATAAGTCCTGTGGTAATCATGATTAGAGGGGAATTTACTTTAGCTTGTAGCACAGTGAGCCATTAGGTGCCCTGATAAACTTCTAACTGTATTTCTTCACAAACCTTGAGGCTATCTTCCTATTCCCACCTGAGGATGTTTCCTGCTACCCAGATGAGTTCGAAGTATGGTTCATTCCTACCTCATATTTCCTGTTTATCTGTGTTCTGAAGCCCATCCTTAAACCCGGAGCCACTACTGAGGAGGAACCTAAGGAGGGGCAGGGGAGAGAAAAGTTTATGATGGGCAAGTTGTGCCCGCCATCTTGGCATCTATGTCCAGACAGTCAGAGCGCTGCAGTTCTCTCTCTCTTTTTTTAAATTAATTTCTTTATTTATTTTTATTTATTTATTTATTTGGCTGCGTCAGGTCGTAGTTGTGGCACACGAGATCTTTCATTGCAATGCGTGGGCTCCTCTCTAGTTGTGGTGCACGAGCTCTGTAGTTTGCGGCACGCGAGCTCAATAGTTGTGGCACGTGGGCTTAGTTGCCCCATGGCATGTGGGATCTTAGTTCCCCGACCAGGGGTCGAACCGGCGTCCCCTGCATTGCAAGATGGATTCTTAACCACTGCGTTAATTGCCAGACACACTGTTTTATATATGCTGAACTTGGAGTCAACCAAATTTCCCTTTCTTGTCCACAGAGAGTTCTGGCAAGCCAGGCTAGTACTTATAAAACACTTTTTCCCCTAATTTTTTCTCATATATTTCATTTCATAGCCCTAGCCTGTCAATGTCTTTTTGGATTTTGATTTCATCATCCAACATTTATACCATCTGAGAATTTGACCAGCACACTAGAAAAATTTAACAAGTTTCTGATAGAAATGTTGAAGAGAAAAAAAAAAAAAAGAAATGTTGAAGAGGTTGGAGCCAAGTGCTGTGCAAGCATGCCACTAGAAACTTCTGTTCGAGTTCATTTAACAAACATTTATATAATGGTGACTAAATGCCAGGCACTGTTCTAAGGGCTTTAATTTGTATAACAACCAAGTAAGTAGTACTCCTTCTACAGATAAGGAAACAAGCATGGAGAGGTCAAGTTCATGAAGCAATTCTGTGAATATGGTTATTCAGTCACCTAGCTCTCCTAAAATCCAGTCTTTTCATAAGAATAGTATAAGAGATTTTATTTAATGCCATTTCAAAATGAAGACACCTTCCTGATTTACATGGCCTAGCAATACCTTCTCTCTCCACATACTCCACCTTGCCAGAAAAATGAGGTTAGTTAGATGAGACTTGATCTTGAAGAACCCTAGTCAGTACTACCTAGTTGTTACCACCTTTGCTTTGAAGTGCTAGAGAGACGAAAATGGTAATAGCTACCATCTACCGAGAGTTTTCTGTGTAAGAGGTGCTATAATAAATGCTTTAACTATTTCATTTACTCCTTATAGCAAAGTTTTGTCCAGGATCCAGGGTCATTAAATGGCAGATTTGAACCTCTTAGAATTTTTGCCAGGAATCAGCCTCAAGTTTACCTGCTGGCATATTCCATACATAACTCACCTTTTCCTCCTTTCTCAGAAAGTTAGTGCCTTGGCTTCTCTTTATCTTTTGTCACCTTTGTATACTCCGTAGTTTCTCAAAGATTACGGACAGGAGTGCCGGGTTCACATTTGCAGATTCTTTCAGTGTCTTGGGATTTTAATGGGACTTCAATTCATTTGAAATGTCCAGATAAGTCTGAAACTTCTCACATAGCTCATATTATTTTTCCTTTCTTAAAGTCACCTCTTAATCATATTTTTGTTTGAATATTATTCCTCTTGATGGAGGAGATAGAATAGAGACCATTTTCAGTGAGTTTATTTCTTACCGTGTTAAAACTGTCATTTCAAATGATCTAGTTATGGTTTTGCTAAACTAAACTATTATTGCCTAATTCAACTTTCTTGGCATTATTAAAACTTAGTCACTTCATTTTAGATATTTCATTTCTTTTTTAGTAATTGACTAATTCCATATTTCATTTGACTGACTCTGTGGAGTATGGGCTTGTAATGAAAACAAGAGGAGCTTCCACAGAGCAGTTTATAAGTATATAACACCTTCCAGCAGGCTCTAATCCTGTTTTGTTAATCCAATTTGTGTTTAAGCAGCTCCTTCATGTCAAGGATGGCGCTACCAGCTCACCTTTCCAAACATGGATGATGAAAAAAACATCTCCATTACCCTCCTATCATCTCCTTTTCATTGTTAAATGCATGAGGAGATACAGGGCTGTCTAAGCCACTGCTTGGCTGGGACACAGTGAAAATAAGCCAAGTAATGCACAGATTTCTGGTGAAATCTCCATGACACGGGATGAGGCCAAGAAGGTAGGAGTAAAATAGATAGAGGCAGGGTTCCAGAGCTGCTATTTTAGTTGAGTATTTAAATTTATTTAATATTTAAGTTTAAATATGTAAATTTTAAAATACTCAATATTTAACTAAATATTGAGTACCTACTCAACCAGGCACCATGGCAAGCAGGAGGAGGACAAAGATGGCTGCATGGTCCCCAACAGAGGAGTCAAAGTGTAGTGGAGAGACAGGCAAAAAAAATAAATTGTAATCTAACAGGATAGGTCTGTAAGAATGCATACTTTTTATTATCATTTGGTTCTACGTTTTTTTTTATTTTTTTTGTTTTGCTGTACACGGGCCTCTGACTGTTGTGGCCTCTCCCGTTGCGGAGCACAGGCTCCGGACGCGCAGGCTCAGCGGCCATGGCTCACGGGCCCAGCCGCTCCGCGGCATGTGGGATCTTCCCGGACCGGGGCACGAACCCGTGTCCCCTGCGTCGGCAGGCGGACTCCCAACCACTGCGCCACCAGGGAAGCCCTCTAAGTGTATATGAGGTTTTTAATTTATTCTTTTGTTGCTGACCTCAAGCTTGGTTGCATGATGGTTAGGGAATGTGATCTGAATGATGCTGATTTTTGGAAACTTATTGAGTTCTGCTTTATGGCCTATTACATGAGCCATTTTTGTAAATGTTTCATGTATACTTAATAAGAATGTATATTGTCTGTTTACTAGATGCAGAGTTCTATGTATTTTCCGTTAGACCAAGCCTGTTAATTATATTGTTCCAATATCTAAATCTTTAATGATTTTCATCTGCTTGATATATTAATAATTAAGAGCCTAGTTGAAAGTTACCCTCCAGTGGAGAATTTGCCAGTTTCTCCCTGTAGTTCTGTCAATTTTTGCTGCTGATAGTTTGAGCCTATGTTATTAGGTGTATACAAATTTAAAATTATTATATCCTCCTCGTATATTGAATTATCTATTATTATGCACTGACCCTGTTCATCCCCTGTAATGCTTTTTTCTTTATTTTTTAATTATTTTTAACAACACTGCTTTGTTTTGATTATATTTCAGTCTTTTTTTAAATAAATTTATTTATTTATTTTTAGCTGCATTGGGTCTTCGTTGCTGCACGCAGGCTTTCTCTAGTTGCGGAGAGCGAGGGCTACTCCTCGTTGCAGTGTGTGGGCTTCTCATTGTAGTGGCTTCTCTTGTTGTG